TAATTTCTAGCTTTTATTTTAGTTTGTAAATCATTATTTTGTAGCCCATTTGCAAATGCGTTTATAGCAATTTTTTCATTAACTGATCTGTAAATATCCATTGAATTTTGCCTGACTAATTGTTAAATTCACTAACAATTTTTGTATTGATTTTCCAAAATTTTGTCTTAATTTGCCGTTTTATTTTGCATTATGCAACTGGTTTGACAGGGTTGATATGGATTTTTTTAATGATAAAGTGTAACTCAGAAATTAATTCAGCATTAAAGTCTATTCAAATTTAATTTACGCCTGATGTAAACAGAAGCAGGTGGACGCTAAAATTGAGCAGGGCCGTATTTTACTTTTCCGTCTTGCAACAATGTAAAATAAAAGAGTGTAATTGTGAAATTATTTTTTTATTACGATAAAAACATATTTTGTGAAGTAAAACTATAAAATAAATGCCGTACAGGGTCTCCCAGACTTTAGTGACATTTCTGGACGAAGATAGGACATAAACTGCGTTAACCTGCAATACAAATTAATAAATGTATTTGACTTTAAAAGAGATGGTTGCATTATATTTAGTTCATTATATATGTCTACTGTGATACAGAACATTCAAACAATCATATTATAAAATTATATTGTACAGGGTGTCCAAATAATTGCAAATTCGTTAATAGCTAATATATATCTACTAAAAGCATTAAAAAAACTTTAAATATAAGAGGTATTTGGTATTTGAATTTGGTATTTGATTTAAAATTGTGCATCTTAAAAAGAAACCTTTTGTATTTTTGATAACTTTTGTTCTTTATTGTTCTTGTTCTACTAGTATTTAGATTAGACAACTTGTACCCTGTATTATAGCAATCTTCCTTACTTGATTAGCACTATTCTGAATCGGATAAATTAGTTAGACTTGAAAGGCTATCTTCATTAATCAAAATTACAAGTGGTTCTACCTGAACCTTTATAATATTATCCAACTCCCACATTTTTACTTCAACTTTTTGGCGAACATGGTCGATACACTTTTTCCATTTTTCTGGAGAAATTAATAATATTACTTCTTCAAAAAGAATTTTAATATCTCCAGATTTAAATGTTGAGTTTTTATCTGCTACGTATTGTTTAACGTCAACCTAGATTAATTCAATAGGGTTTAGTTCACAATGATACGGAGACATGTGAAGTATTATGTTGTTTTGCTGCTTAGCCATTTCATCTATTACATACCTATCATAATGTTTATGTTGCTTACCAAGTTTTAGAAGTTGGATCTTAAGCATTTGGTAGTCGAATTCAATTTTTTTCCCTTATAGCCATTTTTAAATATCACCTTTTTTAGACGTCGTAGATATTTTTTCCAGCTTTCTCGAATAATAATGCAGTTTATCTTCTAATTTTGGTAGGGTGTTTGAAAACCACTCTTTGAACGATTCTCCACACATTTCTTCATGGTAGTCACAGGATTTTTCAACTCAAATACATAAAGTGCATTGGAGACAAAGCCTTATTCACTTCCAATATGGCATATAATGAGCTGTTTTTACGCGCATACCTGATGGGTTTTTAAAACCAGTTAAAAGTTCATCCAAAAAGGCTTGTCTGGATGAAAAAACCGACATATCGAAACATACTTTTGATTTGGTGTGGCCTGCGTTAATCCAAGTCTCATCAAGATAATATATTTTTTTAAAGTTGAAGGTGGTAGCCATGTGTGAGTTATATGTTCAAAAAAGAGGTAAATAAAACAAGGGTGGTCCTTACTCTTGTGAGATCTTAAGGACCACCCTTGTTTTATTTACCTCTTTTTTGAATATATTTTTTGTTTTTCTTCTCTGTACCGTTTTATTTTTTGTGGCGTAGGACGAAACAATTTCATTTTTGTCTGAAAGCAAACTATTTTTTCCTCGAGTTTTAAATTTAAAATTTGAAAAGCTTGTAAAATGTAGCTCGCTTAAAAGTAGACAAACATGGATCATCGTTGACTTCTTATAAAACCTTATCAATCGTTGGAAGTTAATTTCTAAAGAAGAATTGATGTACTTTGCGCCTTATTACATTTTTATCAAAATCATCCACAGAGCCACTAATTTGTTTATAACGTAGCTTTCTTTTTGGTTCAGAAAATTTATGAATCTGCCTATACTCCTTTATAACATTAAAAACGGTTTTAGCGCACATCCCTGTTTTATCAGCAACTCTCCTTTCAACATCATGTACCAACATATCAGGGTTCTATAAAATTTAATGCTTATAAATATTAAGAACCATTTCTTTAGTACGGATGACCAAATGTCCCTTTTTCAGTCGCTTTTTAGAAGGAGTAAAAACATTTTTCTGGACTTTATCTGCTGTATCTGTGGAGGACATAGTGTCACGCAGCAATTACAAAATATAGTCAATTAAATGTCCATAAAATAGAGTAAAACATGTTCAAACTAACAACAACCACAAAAACAAAAAAATATATGTATATCTAAACTATAATAAAATGAATTATAATCAATCAAACATACAAAATGTCCAAACTAACCAACACGGTGAATGCTACCAAAACGTCGTTTATAATTATCCAAATTGAACTGAATTCGACTCTGACAAAAAATATTTGCGCGTCGTCTAAATGACTAACGACCGATTAACCAATAGAAGCGCAAAAAAATGTCACGAGAGCTGTTGCTGGATGGGAGAAATTATTTTGACGCGGTGTAAATGAAATCTGAATAGACTTTTATAGCCGTATGCATTAGACATGGGTAACGCACTAAAATTCTTTGCGTTGATACACTAACTCCGGCGCACTCTATTGCGCCAACTCATTGCGTTAACGCAATTGCGTTATTGCGTCACACCACTGACCACTGCCAGCGCCGAATGAAGTCGACGCACCTCGGTGTATCGCATGATACCGGTGTTATTCAGCGCCGGCTGTCCCTTTATAAGGGTCAAACCGTGTTCAAGGCAAAAACGCAATTGGGAATTTAACTAAATTTTTTTTTTTATTATATGTTTAAAAATAAACGAAAATATAACAGTGTAATGCACTCATTTTTTTATTTTATTGTGTTCGGATTTTACAAAAAATACAAAAATTCCAATTTATATAAAAAGGATATAGCTTTTGTATACTAGTAGCCAATCAAATTGGGAAGAACTAAAAATTGACAGTGTACAAGATTAAAATTTATAAAATTCAACCTACAATCCTACAAATGATGTGACATGTTGCAAAGAACATAATTACTTGATAGATTTTGGGTAATCTGCATTACGAGTTGCATCAATTACGTAAATTAAAATTCTCAACTCGTCACGGAAAACGGAATCAGTGCCTGGCGCATGGCGCACCCAATGAACTGGAGTGGGGTAGAAAGCTAATGTGCATATTTTATCAATTGAACAAGATGCGACTCTATGGGCGCAGCCATTTTTATTTCTCATCTCACTCGGGAGTATTTATAATAACCATTTTCTGTTTCACATTGTTATTGTTCAATCCACAGGCTGGTGGATCAGACAATAACAAAGTGAAATAGAAAATGGTCGTTATAAATACTCCCGAGTGAGATGAAAAATAACCTGTCTTCGCCCATAGAGTCGCTTCTCAAGCCTATTGACAAGCATTCTACCCCACTCCAGTTCATTGGGCGCACCAACAACTCGCAATCCTTTCGACTCAGTATCGAAAATTGCGTTGCGCTGATACAGTAACAGCTGGTGTATCAACGCTCGTAACGCATACAACTGCGTTAACGCAATAACGCAACGCATCGTTGCGTTACCCATGTATAGTATGCATAGTCGATCGCGAGCGACTCGCCAGAGATTCATTTCGGCGTACCAGCGATTCGCTGGCGATCCGCCGGCGAAAGCTCAAAAAGCTGGCGACTCGCCGGAGATTGTCACCGGAATGTCATTTCACGCAAGTTTTTATGTTCTTTTATAGGGAAAAATTTGATATTCGTTCATTATCTTTTGAGTTTTAAGAAATGAATCATGAATAAAATGCGAGAGATACCGGTGATAATCCCTATAAAAGAAAATAAAAACTTGCGTGAAATGACATTCCGGTGACAATTTCCGGCGAGTCGCCAGCTTTTTGGGCTTTCACCGGCGGATCGCCAGCGATACGCCGAAATGAATATATGGCGAGTCGCTGGCGATCGACTATGCATACGGCATTTTCAGTTAATCTGGTTTTGAATACAAAATTGGTCAAAAGCTTTTTACTAGCGACATCTAGCAATGAATCATATAGTTCGAAGGTATCAATAAGACGATTTGTTATAATTTCAGTGCCGTGCATGACAGGTATTAAACCTGTAGCAGTTTTCAAGTCAAATTTTTCGGCCATTTTTTATTTTACTAATCTCTCAGCACTATCTGAATTTGTGTCTGATAAACTACTTTTATTTCCCGATTCACATTTAGTTATTCTATCTAATAAAATTAAATTAATAGTTCCAAAATATTTTTGAATTGATTTTACTTAGATCAATATTTCTGCTTTAACTTTTTGCTCTAAATTAATTTAATTTGCATTATCTTTTAAAACAGAAAAATCATTTTTAAGTTTATCTATTTTAGTTACCTTACGTTTAACTACTTTCACTTGTGTCCTATTCAATTTATATCTTATTAGTACATGGTTCGTTCTTAACTATTACATTTCCTTAATATATAAAACAATCTTCATGACATCGCTGAGTCGACAGAACTTGGCGTCAAGTAGCGATGTCATTTACTTTTCCTTATGCTAATCACCTCCGTAATATTATATCTTAATAAATTAATTAAATAATTATTACATTCAAATAATGTTTAATAAATATAATTACACTACTGTTAAAAACAACGTAACACTTGGCAGCAATGTATAATAATTAGAATATGCATTTCTGGCAAGGACGCTTAGAATGTGAACTCGTATTGGCTTCAGAAATGTTGTAAATAATTCTATCTGTCTTAGTTCTATATAAATGTGCCTTATATTTTTTGTTTTTTAGATGGGTAGAAATTTACCGGGTAGACCAAAGGAAGTAAACTCTCCAAGGCGAAGACAACCTATACTTTGCCCAACAATTCATCCTGGAGTTTACCCACATGTAAGTAATAATTTTAAGATCATTTTTATGGTTATTATAAAAAACAACAAATCGTTTAAGCAATAGTGATGACGTTTCTATTGGCATTAAGTTTATCTTTTCCTGGGCTCGCCTGACTTGCAACCTAATGGTTTATTGTATTTAACCTATGGCAATTCAAAGTATCCACTTTGTCACCTTTGTTTCTTGTACATGTTTATACAAGTATTTGAGACAGTGTGTTTTATAGGTTTATGTATCAACCTGTGGTTGTCTAAAAAGCACATATCTTTTGCGATCCAATGTTTCTCAGTCGCAGAGTATGTGTTTGGCTGTTTGTGATTCCTACTGACAAAGTCGACATAATAAGTCCCTATTATGAACGCCTATTTCATTTAGGTGCTATTGTTTTAACTGGTTCCTATCGATAGAGAGTATTTATCCTGTTCGTATTGAACATGGTCTCCCTATAATGGTTTTTCCATGTGCTTTTTTGAGACATTCTCCCAAATAGTTGTCATGTTTTCTCCAAAAACAGTCTTTTATGAAACCTTGAACTGTACTTTTTGATACTACATGGTTTATATCTGGTTCCGGTATTTCTTTTGACCTTCTTTTTACAAGTTCATCCGCCTCTTCATTTCCTTTGATTTTTTAATGACCTGGCACCCAAACTAGGTCTGTCAGCATTATCAGTTCTTTGATGCAATCCCGAGATCACTGTCTGACTCGATATGGCCTTAAAGACCACCTGTCTTGTCTGAAATTATGTTTTAGTGATTTCTGCAGTCTTTCACCCGCTTGCGTACTGGGTATGTTTCTATTTGGGCACTGGGTTTTTTCAGTTTCCTCAAGGCGACCTTTGTTCTGTTTTTTTTTTGTAAGTTTTTGGGTTTTAAGGTCCCTTTATGTATTCGAATAGTTTTTAAATGAAAATTATATGTTAGAGCTTTCGACACTGATCAGCGCCTTCTTCAGTATGTTATTTATTAATTAACATTGTTATTTTTGTTTGTTAGTTTATTATTTTACATGTTTTAAATTTGTTGTTTTTTTATTGTGTTAATATTTCCTTAGGCTAATTTATAAATCTTAAGATAAGACATCCCATTGTGCCCAAGGCAATATTAAAAAAAAAATTAAAACAGATGTAAAATAACAAACTAACAAACAAAAATAACAATGTCTAAAGAAAAACAAAATAATGTTAATTAATAAATATCTTACTAAAGAAGGTGCTGAAAGCTCTAATATATGGTTTTCATTTTAAAACTATTCGAATGAATACATGAATCTAAAAACCCCAGAACTTACCAAAAAAATAATATATTAAGCTGCAAGAAGTTAATACAAAAGAAAGCAGACTTCCTTTGCAAAGTACCATTATTTGTTCCGTTTGGTATTAAAACCTTGAATGGAGTATATGATTTGTTATAATGTCTATCACATCCCCTGTTACTTACCTTGTAATACTTATGTGACCTTGCCTAATGTTAAGATTTCCCAGAGTGTTCTCCAAAATTCTAAGCACATAATCTTGCTTCCTCCTGTATCACCAGGCAAAGCGGTATTAAACCCATTAGTGCTTGTATTTTCGCTGTGGGTATTGTTTTCATTGCCCCCGTTATTCCAAGACAGGCAAGTTTTTGTATAATACTAAGTACGTTATTGCCGCCTCTTTGTTGTTTCTTTGACCAAACCACACCAAATCAGCTTATGTCAGTACTGGTCTTACCACCTTATTGTATGTACAATATTCCATACCTAGTTTCAATCTCCAGTTTTGCTTAAAAGAACATCTTGCTGTCACTAGTTATGTCTTTCCTTTCTTTGTTATTTTTTCCAAATGTTGAGTCCAGCTAAGTTTCGAGTCAATTTTAATCCCGAGATACTTTATCTCCCCCTTTAGACGGATGGAGGTTTAGAAGTTTCAGCCCCTCTTTCTTCTGCGCGTTAATATAATAATTACATAAGTCCCAACAAGTGTACCACATTTATTATGGTAGATTTTTTGGGACTAATTTTTAGTCTTTCATTTTCTTTCCTGGCACTACAGTTACAAATATTTGTCAAATTTGTCAAGGCGCTGATAAATGTACTCTTTGTATTTTTATCCTTTGCCTAAAATTAAACATGTTCTTTCAAAACCAATTAAATAGTTTAATCGGATTAAAAAAAATCACATCTTTATTTTTAGTATGGGAAAGAACCAAATTCCGGCACTTTGAAAATGGCTTACGAAGAAAAGTTCCTGAAGAACAATATCAAAAACATGAAGGTTGAAGATACAAGAATAGAAGATGATCCTGATAATATGCGTTTCTATACACAAGTGACCAATCATGTAAATTATCTTCAAATTCAGAGAGACATAAAAAATAAGGTTGCCCAAAAGATTAATGCTTATGAGGAAACCGTGGACAAGAGAAGGGAAAAGTAAATATACAATAAAGGCAAGATTAAATCTTCGGTCATGCTTTGCTTGTGATAGAGTTAGTGTTCGCATGTGCAAGAGAAGAAAGGATTTGGTATCGATGTTGTTAGTTACAGCTTGGTACCTAGTTAATGATGCGTGACTCGACCTGTGAATGTTAGTATTGATACAGTTTGGTTTCTCTTTCTGCATGTGCCAACGTCATATACTCCATTCCCTCAAATATCAGCAAAGCAAGACCGAAGGTTTGATGTTGACAGTAATGTACATGTTTAATTTAAATATTTTAATGCCAAAGCGTGTTTTATTATTCTAATTCAAATCAGTTTTGGCTTCGTTCCAATTTAGTAGATGTTTGTTAAAAAAGTAGAAATATAAAGAGACAATCCTTAGAAGGGGTTAGACTAGGGCCCGTATTTATAAACAAAACTCAGCTGAGTCGGACTTGGGTAAGTCATCCTTGAACGAAAATCGAAGTTCGGTTATATCGCGTGAATTTAGAGATGGGTAGTAACAAATTCGTAAATGTACGTAACAGTTACAGATTTGCTAATATCCATCTCTAAATTCCAGTCTAACACCAGAACCACCTAGAACTTTAGATGCGTTCTAACCGAACTTCGATTTTAGTTCAAGGACGACTTACCCAAGTCCGACTCAGGTAAGTTCTGTTTATAAATACGGGCCTAGATTTGAGAGGAGTTGGACATTATTTGCCTTTGTTCACCGCGACCTTTTCAGATCTATTGTTACACTCTGTCATTTGGAGTGTGTCATTTTTTGGTCTCTTTTATTAGACTTAATAGCTTTGACAGTGGCTCCCGAATGTAGTTCCATGCGTCTGGCTTTTCTTCACTTAATGTTAGAAACCTCAATCTAGCCAGATCCTCACACGGGCATAGTACGGGATTGATTTTTTCTCTTCTTCTTCACAGAACCTGCACAATGTTGCTTCTTCTGCTAGATTGGTGACACTCATGTGCCTTCTTAAGCACAGTATCCTGTGAGAAGATCTACAGTTATTCTAACGATTTGACGTTTCTGATCCAGTAGGTATTTCGTGAACTTGACCGACGGTTCCTTGATGAACTGTTTGGCCTGTCTCAATCTTGGATAGTTACTCCACCATTCCTAAGACTTTTTTTGCATCCATTGTTTAATAGATGCCTTGCACAATGCCTTAGCAACTCGACAGAAGGGTTCGGGGCCTGTCATGGCCTTAACTGAGCCTTCCTGGGAGAATTGCCTTTAAAGTAGATGGCAACAGTTTTGCCTGATACTTTTTGATTTATTATTTCTTTTGCACAGGGTTATATGGATATTAGCTCAGCCAGGAACACTCAGTGAAATCGAAGAAAAAATGTGTTTAATTAAATTTAATAACTTATCTTTTTGCATCAGAGTTTGTCAGTCTCGTAAATCTTATTGCACGTTCTTGCAAATGGCTCTGTCTGGTGTTTTTCATATTTTCAATAAAAGGTCGACTTTTTTCTTGAAGATATAAAAAACCATCTTTATGAATTTTTCTATTTGGTCCAGAAGAATTCAAATTAATTTGCCGTTTTAGACCAATTTGATTCAAGAGTAAATTTAATGACAAATTTAACAAATAGTATATTGTATTGATTTTTTATTTCCATATAAATAATATTTTAACAAGTCCTTTGTATACATAATGACTAAAATAACCGAATTTGTAGCCGGATATATACGTAACATTGCAGCAAAAGTAACGGAAAGTAACGCTTACAATCTTAAAGTTTTACATCTTCTATAAAGGCTATCGTCCGGATTACTTTAAGTTTAAAATTGTCTCAATTTGTACAAAAATTAAGGGATATAAACTTGATTGAATACTAAAACCATGAGAATGAGTCACACACACAAGTGCAAAACGCAGTTTTTCCAAAATGGCGATACAATATTGAATTGAATAGCTATCGTTTCATAAAATCTTGGATGTACAAATCGCATTATATCCTGCTTAACATGTATTGTGAAAACCACTTGGCCATGCAAAATGCATTTAGTCCATCAAGATTAGATAAACAAAAAGCATTTTGTCCATAGTACGTGCAAACCGCGTTTAGTCCAGCCGTAAATACATTGTTTTCATAACCTAATAGCTGTTAACGGTGTTTCGAAGTATTTGCGAGCATTGCGTGTATTTTGCAACTTTCTCAAAAAGTTCCATACACAATGGAATCTGTAGAGGGTGAGCACGTTGTTGGTGATAGTGATCGTGGTAGCCGTGAATTTGACATTCAGGGAGAGAAAAAAAAACAAGTGAGGTATGAATGAAATAGGTATTTTAAATATTTGATGTATATATTTCATGATTACTTCAGGCATTCAAACCATGATCCCGATTTACAACAATTCAATATAGTTTGTAACCATAAGAATGCCGGAGAGGCTAGCCGCGAGCTTAGTATGCATCCACTTACTTGCAACAGTTAAGCAGTAATCTCTCCGGTCACGTCGTGGATGGGTGACCGCTGGGAGGTTCTACCATGGGCCGTGTCACCATGGGATTCATCCGAATAGCGTTTAACCATCGACGACGTGGAATGAATAAGGGTGTGAATGGGAAAGTAGAAGGACCTTCAAATGGTGGTACAACAAGCCGCAGGCTGCAGTGCTGCCAGACTACAAACGGGTTGGGGTGTAGCACGGGAGGTCTGAATGGAGTAAAACTAAAAAAAAAAAAAAAAAAAAAAAAAAAAATAATCCAAAACTTCAATGTGGGCAGGTAGATAGAGATGATATAATGATATAATGACACTTCGGGAAGTTTTAGTAAACCCAATAAAATTATTCAAGATGGAATTTTAGCCAGTAACATTGACTTGGACGTCCCTAAACGGAAAAGAACCCACTCGTTCTCTGTTAAATATTATGTAAGTTGAAATTAAAATAACATACGGCATGTTTTGGGTATGAGAATGGGAGAAATTTGTCGTGTTTTTATTAATATTATGTTGATTTTCTCAGTTAGTAGTTCTGTTTCATTCGAAATTCATTTCAGGTATATGTCAATCGACAAAAGTTACAAGTTTGTCAGAAGTTTCTAATCGCTGTATACAATGTTTGTCAAAGAAGACTAAATACAATTTGCAAGAAACTTCAGGAAGGGGAACAAGATATAAAAGAAAAAAGAGGATGCGATAGACGAGCTTTCAAATATGTAGAGAAGTTGCATGCTGTGAAGTCATTTATTAGCCAATTGCAAGGAAAAGAGAGTCACTATGGAAGGCAGAAGTCTCGAAGGATCTATGTATCTTTGGAATACAACATTTCTATACTTTGGCAATTATATAACAAAAATGCACCGGATAGTTTAAAAGTGAATTACAAATATTTCAGCCGGGTATTTAGTAAACATTTCAACATAGAGTTCGGTAGTCCCGCTACCGACGTCTGTAGCTATTGCGTAAGAACTCAGACCAAAATAAATATATGCCAAAGCTCTTCTGAAAAACAGAAAATATCCACTGAACTGAAAGTACACAAATGTCGTGCATCCCAATTCCATAAGTTAATGAAAGCTGAAGAACCTAATACAATTTCTTACTGCTTCGATCTACAGCAAGTTCAGGTACTACCGAAGGTACCTATTCAGGAGGCGTTTTATGCTCAACAGTTGTCAATATATTTTTTTGCATTACCAAACTTAATTGTCAGGAACCATTATTCTACACGTGGATGGAGCACCAAGCGGGTAAGGGAGCTACGGAGACATCATCTGCCATCATTTATTTTTTGAAAAATGCTGAATTGCCAGAAAATGCTAGTAAAATCCGCTTTTTGGCAGATGGCTGTCAGGGTCAACACAAAAACAGTCATGCGGTACATGCTTTGATGTTTTGGCTTCACAATTTTTCAGGCTAACAAGTAAGAGAAATACAAATTATATTTCCGATCAGAGGTCACTCTTATCTTCCCGCCGATCGTATCTTTGGTCACATCGAAAAAATATTAAGATCCCACAGTGTGATAAGAACTCCAGATGCATATTGGGATATCTACACCAAAGTAGGTGAGGTACGTAAACTTGGATCCGACTGGAATTTGCTTGATATCAAAAATATGTTGTTGTGGCTCAAACAAGTGAACGGCATAAGTTCTTGTCGGAGGTTTTTCATTAAGAAAAGTGTTACCACCAACAATATTTTGGTAAAAAGTGAAATAATATATCGCACTTCAGATGAAACAAAAAAATTCCAATCGCTACTGAAGCCTCGTGCACGTTTCGACCAAGTAGCCTTACCCAGGGGCGGACATATCACCGGGCAGTTCGGTGCAGTGCACAGGGGCCCCGAGGTGAGGGGGGCCCCCGGCCAACTCTCCCGTACACAAAGTTCTAAAATACCCAATCAATCACAGTTTGTAAATTGAAATTACGGCTGTTTAAATAATATATAACACTAGTAACGCCATCTATTAAAGAATAGAGACTAACTGTTCCTAATAATAAAGATTTTTATTCCGTTTTTGTAAGAATTTTGATTATTGTTGACACGATCGATGATCGATGTCGCTCCGGCGGATGTTTTCATTCTCTGTAAATCCCTTTGTCGGCATATTAGATGTGAGATGTGTATGTGTCCATTTCACTGATTACTATTTACTGGTGAGTGGCTGAGTGGCTATAATATTATTTGTTGTGACTTTTTGTTTTATTTGGAAGTAAATAAACGTGCTAACGTGCATCTTAATTTCTGAAACGCAGAAAAAATAAGGTAAACCGATTTTTTCTATTATTATTTTAGCACCTGCAATTTTTATTTCATTTTTAACCGACTTCAAAAAAGGAGGGAGGTTATCAATTCGTCGCGATATTTTTTTTTTTTTTTTTTTTTATGTATGTTCAGCGATTATTCTTTAACACGGTGTCCGATTTCAATGATTCTTTTTTTGTTAGAAAGGGGGTATTTCAGAGGTGGTCCCATATAAATTTAGCCAACATCTAATAATTGGGTCCATGAGAAAATCCTCAAACTCTTCATTTTTTATGTATGTTCAGCGATATTTTTTTAACATGGTGTCCGATTTCAATAATTCTTTTTTTGTTAGAAAGGGGCTACTGTAGGGGTGGTCCCATATAAATTTTGTCAAAATCTAATAATTGGATCCATGAGAAAATCCTCAAACTCTTCATTTTTTATGTATGTTTAGCGATAATGCTTTACTACCTTGTCCGATTTATATGATTCTTTTTTTGTTAGTAAGGGGGTACCTCAGGGGTGATCCCATATAAATTTGGTTAAGATGTTGTGATGGCATCTGCACGTTTTTGAAGTCGGTTTTTTTAAATTTTTAATTTACACTTGTAATTTTAGCTTGTCAAAAAAAAACGAAATTGTACTGAAAGGTGGTGGCCTACCACTGGTAAGGTAGGCAAATATAAAATGGATAAGCGTAAGTATAAGAGTGGAGCAGAAAAGCGTAAATTGAAACAAGAAAATCTTGATAAATCTAAAAAATTGCCTAAGATCGATAAATACTTTATCCCAAAAAACGATCAGAGCCCGAGTTTGTCACCTTCATTACAAGAAAATCCCGAAGCGAATATTATTGAGACTGAGACATCACAAAGAGAAACCATACCACTACCTGAGATACAAATGCAAATTGTTAATTTAGAAGAAGAAAATAATTCTAACGAGTCGGAAAACTTTTCTTTTACGACTGTTATTGAAACTGGTGGAACGTCTGAAAAATCTACAGATTTAGGACATTACAAAAATGAACTTTGTGATGATGATAATCGATTTATTATCAGTCAGCCTGCTAACAAACCCAAAGGTCCATACCCAAAAGATCCAAAACAAGGAAACAGGCGCTTTAGTGAAAAATATTACTCATCAGTAACGCAATATGGTGTAGTTCCGCGCACATGGCTCTGCTATTCAAAAGTTCTAGATGCTGCTTATTGTGTTCCTTGCTGGCTGTTTTCTTCTGGTTCTGGTGATAATCAGTGGCGAAGAGGATTAAGAGACTGGCAGCACATTTCTTCTAGAATAGTTGAGCACAGCACAGCTCAAATGCATATCCAGTCTTGCAGTATTTTTGAGTTATGGAAAACTAACCAGACTGTCGATAAAGAATTAGAAAAAAAGGCAAGATGTGAAGTTTCTTTTTGGAAGCAAGTTTTAGAAAGACTGTTTCGTATAACGTTAGCTTTAGCTAAGAGTTCTTTAGCTTTTCGCGGACATCGTGAAAAGCTTGGAAGCGACAACTTAAGTGGCAATTCTAACAATGGTAGAGTTATTATCACACTATTATCCTGTTATGAAACAAGTTGTAACCATGCCTTCAGGCTCTGTGCGGTATTTAAGTAAAACGACTCAAAATGAACTTATTCAGTGTTATTCTAAATTTGTTTTAGAAAAAATAATTTCCAATATAAATTTAGCTCCGTTTTTTTCTCTCATGTTAGACACCACGCAAGACATAGCAAAAACAGATCAGTTAAGCGTTGTTATAAGAACAGTTCAAATAATTAGAGATTTAAATAACATAGCTATAGGTTTTGAAATAAAGGAAAACTTCATAGGGTTTTATGATCTACAAGATCAATCTGCCAAAGGTATGTCTGAATCAATTTTGGGTATATTAAAAGATCTAAACATACCTTTGAGTAACTGCGTCGGTCAAGGATACGATGGTGCTAACGTGATGAGTGGTGCATACAACGGTGTACAAGCCAAAATTAAACAAATACAGCCAAACGCCGAATATATACATTGTGCTGACCATAATCTTCATTTAGTAATAAATGATGCCGTATCAGGTTGTAGTGAAATCTCCGCATATTTCGCAGTACTTCAAGACTTATATAGTTTTTTTGGACATAGTATTAAACGGTGGGACCTTTTGTCATCGTTTACCGGCGAGTCACAAATAACATTAAAAAAACTCAATCCAACCCGTTGGTCAGGGCGTATACAGTCGGTTTTAGCAGTTAAATTACGATTATATGATATTTTAAAAGCTCTTACTGAGATTGAACTAAAATCATCGAAAAAAGATGAAATTGCGGATGCTTCTTCTTTAAAAAAAAGAATGAGTACTTTTGAATTTATTTTTGTTACGATTTTTATGTTTAGAACTTTGAATCATATTAATTTAGCATCAAAAACTTTACAAAAAGTTGACATTGATTTGATTTTAGAGACCCAAAATCTTACGACAATATAAAATCTGAAGCCATAGATCTGGCCACCAAATTAAGTATTGAACCGACATTTCAGGCAAAAAGGCAAAGAAAAGTAAAAAAACACTTTGATGAACTTTCTTCTGATCATCGTTTCGAAAGCAGCGAGGAGTTTTTTAAGATTAATGTTTATTACTTTGTCATCGACATTATTCGCAATCAGATTACTAGAAGATTTTCTGCTATGCTCGCCGTGAAACAAACTTTTGAATTTTTAGAACCGCGTTATTTAATTGTAAGCTCAACAGAAGAAATATTACACCGATGTGAAGAATTTTGCGAAAAATATCCGAAAGTTTTATCTCATTGTTTTGTAAATCAGTTTCTCATGATTTTAGATTTAATGAAACATGACCTTAAAGAAGATATGTCCATAAGACAACTCTTTGAATTTATTATTAAGAATTATGCGTTTATGGAAGCAGACTTTTGCGAGGTTTATACGGTTTTTCTTTTATTTTTTACCCTTCCTGTAACAGTTGCTTCTGTGGAACGATCTTTTAGTAAGCTTAAAATGATAAAAGACTATATGCGATCTACAATAAGTCAGCAGCGATTGCGCGATTTATCAATTTTATCTATAGAAAGTAAAATGGCATCTAACTTAGACATCTCTAATTTAATAGATCGATTTGCAAATGCCAAAGTTAGAAAAAGGGCGCTATAAAGTATAAATATAAAAATATTAAAAATAACATTCACGGATTTGTACAATTAATCTGTGATACTATATACCACAGATTAGCTAATAATCTGTGATAATAGATACATAGATAGGTACTACTAGTTTATTAGGTTTTTCTTTTTGTTTTATTTAGAAAGTATCTGTTTGTTTATACTTATTTTTTATTTTATATTTGTTATTAATAGTTTATAAATAAATTAAATAATCCAAACCATTCGTGATTTTTTTTTTACATATTGGTTTTGAAGCCAGAGGGGCCCACAAGCACTTCTTGCACCGAGGCCCACTCCTGCTTAGATCCGCCACTGGACCTGAGCTGCTTTTGGGTCATAAGATAAAGAAAACGAAACTAGACAGTTTGAAAAAAATAGTGGAATCGTTATCTGGAGAAAACTGGAACAGTAATCCAGAGTTGGAATGGTTAGTTCCAATTTTTGCAGATTACTGTGAAGATGGAGAAAGGATTGTTGAAGAAAATGAAGATTGTGAATGTAATGATATGGAAGAAGTAAATTTCATTTAAACTTTATAAAAACATAAAATAAATGGGTTGTTAATTGAGAACTCGTTTTTGTTTAATTTTATTTGATTAAAATGCCCAAAAATCTGTTCAAGAGACAACCAAAACACTCTTTGTCTACTAGAGACATGCAAATAGCATTTTGTCCGACTATTTTTCTTTAATAATAAAGCTATTTCAATTATTTCCAGTCTACAAATCTAGCAATTACTTATGCTATTTTTTCTTGTGATTTCTTACTGCAAATTTCAACTCCGTAACTAAGGCCGTTTCTAAGCACCAGTTTTTTGCCATTCCTGAAAATTTACAATTTTGGACAAACTGCGTTTTGCATGTCTGCTCTTCAAGTCTTCTTCACTGGAAGTTGAAACTTTGATTGCATTCGAACTGTGATTATAAGAAAACAGTTTTTAACTCATCTTTTTAAATAATATAAATTACTTTTTAGACTGAAAGATCTTTTTTACGCTGAAGAACGTCAGTACTATCAGGAAACAGTTAAACTGGCTTTTAAGGGACAAGAAGATACATTTGAACAAATGAAAAGAACACTAGATATAATTAAGAAGAAGAAAGAAGAAGAAAGGCAACAAGTCGTCCATAGAAAAAGGATTGAACAATATATGTATGTCTTTAATTTTATTTAATATGTTGACTTCCTAGATAAACAAATACTTTTTTATAGAAATCTTTGCCAAGAACTGAAACCGGCGCTTTTTAAAAGGCATCTCATTGAGTCTAAAAATGCGCAGTTGCAACAAATGCGGGAGAATGAGGCCCGAAGACTACAAGATAAAGAACTTGATAGAATGTGGTATGAACTCAATGAAAAGGAACAGAGAGCCATGGTACGTATATTAATTTAATTAAATTTTTACATTTTTACAAAATATTTTGTAAGTAAATTTGGTTTAAGTGGCTTTTTGTATATAGCAATGACTGGATATGTTCTAAGGTTCTGATTTTAATTTTTTGCAATAATTATTATGTTCCGGACCTCAGGAAAAGTTGCAAATGTAAATTAATAATTATTTCAATTTAATAAATAGTTTGAAAACTTTTGTATTAAATGTGAAATGATTATCTTTAATGACTGGCCTAAAAATTTGGAGTTACACATTTATTGTAACCTAAATTGGCCCGTAAATATACAAATAAATCAAAATATCTAAAAGAGATTGTCTGATTTGAAAACACAAACATTAATATAATGGATTTGACTTTCAAACTATTTCAGTTTTAGTCGTCAACAAATCTTGTATAAGAAATGTTTTTCTTTTGAGAGCATTTCATGCAAATTTGAAACAAATGACGTACCATGAAGGTCTAATCATGCTAAATATCAATCATATTTAAGCAAGAAGTAATACAAATAATTACAGAAATCACGCAAAGAATTATTTTACTATAGAAATGCACAATAATAGAATATAAGAAGTTTCACGCTTATGGTAGTTTGCTGGAAAAAATTGTAATCACTGCGCACGCCATGAAATAAATAGTTAAAATTGTATCTTAGTACTTTTCGGAATACCAACCCGACAAAAAGTAACTAGCGGCCATTGGCAATTGTGCACTTATTTATGGGAAGTTTTTTATTTCTCAAGTGTTTCTGTTAATATGAAAATTAAAAAGTTGCATTTGATGTGTCTTTGAGAAACAACAAAATTGGTAGGTTGGCAGCATTCTTTAAATTTGCAATATACAGGGAGATCGAGCTGTTAGTTTACTATATACATCTTGCATCTTCAGCAGAAAAACTTTAAAGTAAAAGTAACTTTTATTCAAAAAGTCTACAAAAATTCCGTCCTTTCATTTTCTTTTGCTCGTGACCTTTAACCCTTTCAAGACTAACAGTACTATATATCCCAAATAAAATTATATATAAATGCCGGTTTAGTCTTTTCAGTGCCTGGGTTATCTAGCAGTTTGTTGTTTGTAAACAAAGCGAGATAACCTCAAATTTTTCGAACTTCACGCCGCATGTTGATTATTTTTGCATGTTTTTAAACCTTTTTTGGGGCAATTATATACTGTATATTCTGTGTAACCAAGTAAGTACCTTTCTTCTAGTGTATATAATAGTTTGAACATATTTTACGTATTCCTTGATGCGAAATTTTCTGATTTTTTTTGTGGGACGTCATGACCCAACAGGCTTTATTGGTGGGATCATTTGTCCCACGAGACCTACGAATGTGTTTTTTCTTTCAGGATGAATAGAAAAAACCACTAGTTCAAGCTGAGCATGAAAGAATTGCTAAAAATGTTAATTTGTCTGAAAGTGATACTGATCCTTACCAAAATAGTAGTGATGAAAACCCAGATTGGTATAGCTCGTGTTCAGAAACCGGTGATGGTGATGTTCAATCGGAAAATAACGAACTCGTCGAAACTGAAGATACAGGTAGCGATAATGGTGATGCGAATCGTCAGAGTACTTTGTTTCCTCAAACTGCATCTACAAGTCCTCAGACTGGGCCTTCAACTGCATCAAGCACGATAATGTGGTCTTTAGTTCCACAAAATTATATTCCACGATTTCAACTGCCTCTTGCTAGGAATAAAAAAATCCTCCTGAACTGTATAAATATCCAATCAACAGAATTGGAAGTGTTTTTGCAGTACTTCCCAAAAAGTTTGTACATGTTCATATCCCAATGCATCAATGAGAGGCTAAAAATTATCGAAAGAAAAACTAAAAAGTAAGCGAAATTGACTGACTATTCTGAAATTATGATGGTAACTGGTGTTAGGTTAGTAATGGCTTATAATGTGCTACCAAGCTTGAACTGCTATTGGTTAGAACAATCCTTCTATGGGAAATACTACAGTTAAAAATCGGTACAAATTGCCAATTTCTAAATTGTATTTTAATTACCCCGAAAAACCACCAAACTGTACAAAGATTTATTACATAGAAGATCTCTTGGAGTGTTTTAAATATACATATCAGAAAGCTAGAACGGATTCGGTTTACCAGTCCATAGACGAAAGCATGGCGAAACTCAAAAGTAGATCCAGCTTGAAACAATATTTGCCATTAAGCGTGGAATATAAAGTGATATGCCAAGTTAAAGGGAAACTATATGGAGAAGTAATTCAAATTCCATTAAAGATACCGTGGTTTGCAAAAATAAAAAATTTGAATAGAAGGGATATAAGTACCGTATGCAGATTAAGAAGCGGTCATTGTTTAAGTATGATGCATCTAAAGAAAATAGGTGTAAAAGAAAATAATAGGTGTACGTGTGGAAAACTGGAGGATTTACAACATATTTTTTTTAATTGTCAAAATAATTTTCATAATATTTATACATTTTTAGATAGTTTAGATATTCCAAAAAATTTTATAAAACCTGTTACACTTTTTGATGTATTGTTTAAACTTCTGTCTTTCGGTAATGTTAAAAAAATATCAAAATTTATACAAATGTCTAAAATTAAGCTGTAAAATATTGTAATTATTTACCTGTTGTTACCAAATGGCTGTATCATCTTAGCTATGTAGGCCAATAAATTATAAAAAAAAAAAAAAAAAAATTATGAGTAAGAAGCGACTCTCTAACCGGATATGTATACGATCTAAATATATATGTATAGTGGTAAAGAAGAAGGCCAGATAGATGCAACTCTAGGGGAAAGGGTAGTATGCAAGCTTACCTCTTCCATAAGAAAATCAGATGTTGTAGTTTGTTTTGAAAGATTCTTTACATCAGTAACGTTGACGAAAACATTACCATACGCAGCAGTAGGGACTTGTATTAGTAGCCGAAAAAATATACCAAAAAGTGGAGAAAAACTAGAGAAAAATCAAGCCAAATTCTTGTGTACAAATGATGGGATAACTTTTACTAGATGGCAAGATACAAAGGAAGTCATGGCAATTAGCAACTGTTACGGGGATCAGATAACCATGGTTGAAAGAACACAGAAAATTAGTGTGAAAGCCTCTCTTGAATGCCACGAGACAGTATCAGCGTTGATTCATTGACAAGCCAGGAAGTTCTTAAATCAGGTTTTTTCTAGGCTCTAGCTTTTCGACAGTGGCTAAATTTCAGATCTTTCTTCTCCTCAGGAACACATGGAAATAATAAATACGGAAGCAGTGATAATACACAAGAGGGGATTCGAGTACTCGAAGTAGTAGATACTCGTAAAAGAATTGACAAATACCCTAAGTGGGAAGAAAAATAGGTTATCTACTATAAAATGATATTTCCTATGAAAGAAGGGCAAGTTAAGCTATTATTAGATGCTAATGGTCCATTAAAAGAAAGTTACTATTAACCAAGTAAGAAACACAAGATATATTAGTTATGGACTCGAAATCGAGGAGCTTAATTGATAATTACTACGAATTGTCACTTAATATGAATGAAGATATGCTTAAAATAATAGTTACAATGAAAAATGAAGAAAAATAACAGTTAGATTATGTTTTATATCTTATAGCATGCTTTATGAACCTTACTAAAAAATAATAATTTACTGCAAGTTACATTCAGTCGATAAGGCTGAAGGAACAGCAAATATGTGAATTTTACGATTAATATTTAAATAAACCTCAAAAAAATCAAATAGCTTATATCTCTAAAGATAATAGTCTTTCCTACCCCTACGGAAAGTGAATTTTGTGCGTAAAAAAGTAAATTACAAAAAGAAATACATAAGGAAAAGATTTATTGAAAGAATCAAACTAATATTTTAGCTTAAATACACAGATAGAAATAGGTAAAAATTAATATTATCAAAGGACGCCATTTCGTTCTGCGAAATGCAACATGGCTGTCCTCAAAAAAAATTATGTTTTCTTTTAAAACATCGGTTTCATTTAATAAAAATACTACTCTAAAAGGTAATCTAAATATTAATTAAATGTTAATTTATCAAAAAGACTACTTAAAGTAGATGGATGATCAGAATATTCATTGAATTTAATAAAAATGATTGAACATTAGAGAATTAAGAAAATTAAACACACTGACCTTTATCCTTGACACTCGACACAAAACTGAGTTTAAAATCCAAATTTTGTGCAGAAGTTCATTCCGTTAAATTTCCTCGGTAGAGGAGTGGACACCAATTGCGAATTTTGATTCTAGGTTCTAGAATCAAATCGCCGCAACGTTATCAAGGTAGCGCTGCTTAAAGTATAACGTTTTATTTTTTAATTAATAGCCGAAAATGAGGTTGTAGACGAAGATAACGTTACAAGTTCTTAAAAGTCACAATTGTTCCCGTCGTTTAAGGAGTTGCACCAATGCTGATGGTGAACCCTACTTTTAGACCTCTCAACCTTGCTAGGAGATTCATAGCTCCTAATCTTTTAATAAAGTCTGTAACTAACTATTTATCTTTAAGTTTATTATATTTTGATTGTTACTCTTCCATTCTAGGTATGATGATGACCCTTGGGTCGGAACCAGTTGCTGATTTATAATTTTGAGTATTATTTGAGTATTATTTTGTCTTTTAAAATACTGTTGTTTTTTTATTGAGTCCATATATCCATAAAAATAACGGATAAATACTGAAATACGAGTCATATTATTTAAAAATTAAGAAAATTTACGCTCCGACATGCTTAATTTTTCCGTATCCACTTTTTAAATATTTTTTATAGATCACACCATATCACTAGTAGAAACTGAATATTTAATAAAAATAAATTATCAGCTAAATATGTTTTTTTTTAGAAAGAACGTGAAGAAAGAGAAACTATGGCGAAAAAGGCTGTACAACTTACTATACAAGAAACACTAGCAAAGCAAGTTCGTGGTAAAGAACTTCTTAAAGCCGAAGAGAAGAAGATGAAAATGGAAGATCAATTAGAGTTCGAAAGAAGAAATGACGAAATGCGCAGGAAAGACATTGAAAGTATGACAATTAAAACAACTTTTTTATGATATAATTCTCTTTTGTTTTCCTTAAATTATTCTAATAATCAATTACTGACATAATTTTAAATTGGTCAAGCTCTTGGGCAGTATAATAGCTATGAATTTGCTTCCATTATTGACCAGTTGTAAATAAATAATGTATTCTAATATTAGTAATAAAAAAATATGGTATCGATTATAACTTGATTTATCAATTACTAAATAAATTTTCACACAATATTAAATACATTTTAGATTTAAAGAAGAAAAGAAAGGAAAAAGAGGCCCTCCTAAAAGATATTAAAGAACAGATTCGCACCCAGGAAGAGATACTCCGTAAACACAAAGAGGAAGATGAAGAAATTTCTAAGGTTTATCAGGAATATAACGCAATTGAGATAGAAAAAGAAAAAGCAGCACGACTCGCAAAGATAGAACAAACAAGAAAGGAATGGGCTACATTTAAAAAGTATCTGCAAGAAGTTGAACTTCACAAGAAAAACGAAGAAAAAAAACTTAATGAACTCATGACTATCTTCAGAAAGGAAATTCAGAAGAAGCACGAAGAGGCTGAATGCAAAATAGCAGCTGCCAGAATGGAGTTGCATAAGGTATCACTTTTTTACAATTATTTTTCTCGCTATAATCCAATCGTAATGCAAAAACTCTTCTTTCCTTTTCTAATACCTAATGAAACCTAGCTAGCTATAACAGCGCGGTGTAAACCACTGGTGTAATATGTGTATTTTTTATATTTTTTGTGAATTATTTCTATACCATTTGTGTACTTCGTGTAGTATTTGATTACTATGTGTACTATTTGATTACTATGTCTATTATTTGGTATTAATTGGTACCAATTGTGTAGGGTTTCTACTGCAGATATCGTGACCCAGAGAAAACTTGAGAAACGACTTTTCTTAGGTCGTATTCTTAATTATGATGTCTGTAGGTTTTTTAAAGTTTTTTTTTAGTTCATCAACATAATTTTCTAATTTTCATCTATTTGTGTAAGTACTATTTATGTTCAATTTGAGTACAATTTATGTATAATTTGTGTATAATTTGTGTACAATTTGTGTACAATTTGTGTACAATTTGTGTACAATTTGTGTACAATTTGTGTACAATTTGTGTAAAATTTGTGTAAAATTTGTAAACAATTTGTGTACAATTTGTCTACAATTTGTGTACATTTTGTGTATAATTTGTGTATAATTTGTGTACAATTTGTCTACAATAATTTGTGTACAATTTATGTACAATTTGTGTACAATTTTTGTACAATGTGTGTACAATTTGTGTACAATTTGTGTACAATTTGTGTACAATTTGTGTACAATTTGTGTACAATTTGTGTACAATTTGTGTACAATTTGTGTACAATTTGTGTACAATTTGTGTACAATTTGTGTACAATTTGTGTACAATTTGTGTACAATTTGTGTACAATTTGTGTACACTGTGTGTACACTTTGTGTACACTTTGTGTACAATTTGTGTACAATTTGTGTACAATTTGTGTACAATTTGTGTACACTTTGTGTACACTTTGTGTACACTTTGTTTACACTTTGTGTACACTTTGTGTACACTTTGTGTACACTTTGTGTACACTTTGTGTACACTTTGTGTACAATTTGTGTACAATTTGTGTACAATTTGTGTACAATTTGTGTACAATTTTTGTACAATTTTTGTACAATTTTTGTACAATTTTTGTACAATTTTTGTACAATTTTTGTACAATTTGTGTAAAATTTGTTAAAATTTGTGAACAATTTGTGAACAATTTGTCTACAATTTGTGTACATTTTGTGTATAATTTGTGTACAATTTGTCTACAATAATTTGTGTACAATTTATGTACAATTTTTGTACAATTTGTGTACAATTTGTGTACAATTTGTGTACAATTTGTGTACAATTTGTGTACAATTTGTGTACAATTTGTGTACAATTTGTGTACAATTTGTGTACAATTTGTGTACAATTTGTGTACAATTTGTGTACAATTTGTGTACAATTTGTGTACAATTTGTGTACAATTTGTGTACAATTTGTGTACAATTTGTGTACAATTTGTGTACAATTTGTGTAAAATTTGTGTACAATTTGTGTACAATTTGTGTACAATTTGTGTACAATTTGTGTACAATTTGTGTACAATTTGTGTACAATTTGTGAACAATTTGTGTACAATTTGTGTAAAATTTGTGTACAATTTGTGTACAATTTGTGTACAATTTGTGTACAATTTGTTAAAATTTGTGAACAATTTGTGTACAATTTGTCTACAATTTGTGTACATTTTGTGTATAATTTGTGTATAATTTGTGTATAATTTGTGTATAATTTGTGTATAATTTGTGTATAATTTGTGTACAATTTGTCTACAATAATTTGTGTACAATTTATGTACAATTTATGTACAATTTATGTACAATTTATGTACAATTTATGTACAATTTGTGTACAATTTGTGTACAATTTGTGTACAATTTGTGTACAATTTGTGTACAATTTGTGTACAATTTGTGTACAATTTGTGTACAATTTGTGTACAATTTGTGTACAATTTGTGTACAATTTGTGTACAATTTGTGTACAATTTGTGTACAATTTGTGTACAATTTGTGTACAATTTGTGTACAATTTGTGTACAATTTGTGTACAATTTGTGTACAATTTGTGTACAATTTGTGTACAATTTGTGTAAAATTTGTGTACAATTTGTGTACAATTTGTGTACAATTTGTGTACAATTTGTGTACAATTTGTGTACAATTTGTGTACAATTTGTGAACAATTTGTGTACAATTTGTGTAAAATTTGTGTACAATTTGTGTACAATTTGTGTACAATTTGTGTACAATTTGTTAAAATTTGTGAACAATTTGTGTACAATTTGTCTACAATTTGTGTACATTTTGTGTATAATTTGTGTATAATTTGTGTATAATTTGTGTATAATTTGTGTACAATTTGTCTACAATAATTTGTGTACAATTTATGTACAATTTATGTACAATTTATGTACAATTTATGTACAATTTATGTACAATTTGTGTACAATTTGTGTACAATTTGTGTACAATTTGTGTACAATTTGTGTACAATTTGTGTACAATTTGTGTACAATTTGTGTACAATTTGTGTACAATTTGTGTACAATTTGTGTACAATTTTTGTACTATTTGGGGCACATTGTGTACTATGGTTAAGGACACACTGAGAATGCAGTATAGCCAGGCCAAAGCAATTTATTTTTTTTGCCGTCAATGAATGATCTCGTTTCTTTCTAATATTATGCTTTTACGACCATGCTTCACATATTCAAAACCAATATGTCTCATTAATCAATATAGAGTTCTTAAAGAGAATGATGGTGAATTATCATTCCTCGAATAATGTTATAAATTTCATTTAAAGTGGGCGGAATGTTTTAAAAAACACCGTTGTGCACATTTTCTCTCAATAAGCTCTTAAATCCTCATCAAGTATTATATTTGCAAGAAATTGACTGCCTTATTCGCTTTTGTTCTTGCAGATTTCAATTCGCCATTGTTTTGTTCCTCCCCTTTCTTAATACATTGCTTTTTCACTGACCCCACTAATTTGGGAAGCACGACTTACCGCTGCAGTTAAACTCAATTTATATTCATTGACTAAATAACAAATCATGTATTTAAGTCATCAAACAATATCGCCAACAAAATTGTAACGTTATCTATTTAGATGAGTTTTGGGTCAACGTGGGTCAAATGGTTAACTATACATGGTGTGATAAGAGCCATAAAAAATCGTAGAGATGCTTTTATAAAGCGTTTAATCACAGGCCGCAAAGCACCTATACAAATCCACATTTCGTTATTGTTCATGCAGGATATGAAGGTAGATTTTTACCTGGCGCCGCGCGTGTTTTTTTTGCAAAGAAAAACGATGGCGATTATAATTAAATGAACGCCGACTATTTTGAGCAATGCTTTTAGAAGTCGCTGATTAATAACTTACCCAAAATTGGACGAAAAGACGTTGTTGTTATGGATAACGCTTCATATTGTTCCCGCAAATTAGGTTTTCTAGCTACCTCATGGAACAAACCTGAAATAAAAAAATGGCTGTTTAAAAAAACATTTTCTTTGATGACTCGTATTTAAAATTTGAGCTGCTTGAAGTTGCCAACGCATAGATAGCAATACGTCAAATATTACTGTTTTACGCTTACCATCGAATCATTGCTAACATAACCCGATCGAGATGGTATGGAATCAGATAAAGCGCTATATTACTATAAAAACCTTTGATTTCAAGACACAGGATGTTCGTTTATTGATAGATTAAGCATTTTAACATGTCACTGAACAAAATTGGCGTAATAGCCTTGCACATGTCAGAGAAAAAATAGAAATATGGGTCGCTGATACTTTCCAGACAACTTTGATGAACTCATTAGAAGAGTAAATTTTAGCGACAGTTCTGAGAGTGAGATTTCAGACCTCGACGATGACTTACAGTGACTTATCTATTGCGTAATAGTAATTTACGTTACAAGACCGGAAAGTAGTGTTTTGCAGATCGACACAAGCAGATTCCAGGGCGAGCCGTAGGCGAGACCTGAAAGCTTGGCAAAGACCTGCTTAACACTAATTTTCGGTCGTGTGTCGTACAATATTTTTTTTAAGACCGACACTTCGACGTTAACTCAATTATTTATTTTATTTAATAAAGTGATAAACAAATACTAAAACTAGATCATGGATACAACTGCATAAACTAACCTAATACATTATTTTTAAATTTTATATTAAACGTACATTTTTGCTGCTTACAAAATTTCTTCTGCACTTTAATTTTCTATGTCACGTAATTCAAAACGAGTTTGATAAACAACAAATTAAAAATCAACGAACTCTCACTTGTCAATAAATTGGAACGTCGTTGCCATATTAACGAAATCAAGAAGACTGTATTATCAAACATCAATCGAAAAAATAAAAAAGAGGGACCGGTAAAGCTTTTACCGGTCCCTAACGTCTATTTTCCGGTCTTGATCGGCAAAGCATTACTTTCTGGACGAAAAATTGTTCAGAAAGTGTATACTTACTGGTTGTTCTTAAAAAAAATTGTTTATTACTTGTTAACTTATAAATTTGTAATTTTGAAATTCATTGTTTATTATTTATTATTGAACAAACAAATTTTGAGATACAATTTAAACCCGTGTCGAAATTTTCCACCTGAGACCGGTCCCTTTTTTTCTGATCCCAGCATAGCGACGGCTGGCAACGGCGCGCTTCATAAGCCTTCACACTGCATTCTCAGTGTGTCTCGCACTAATGTGCAACATTTTCTCAGCAGTTTACCCCACGCATAGTAATTATATCTTTTAAATAATTAATAGGGAACTTATTTAAGTATTTATGCAAAATACTGCCATTCGAAAGTCACAGGAAGCCGAAAAAAATTAAATTGTTTTAAAATATTCGTATGCCTATCGTAGAAAAATATTCATTTTTTTAAGTCCGACCAAAAAGTATACACTTTCTGAACAATTTTTCGTTCAGAAAATAACGTTTTGTCGATCAAGACCAGAAAGTAGACGTTAGGG